ATCGCTTTTTTCTTATTATATTCATTAACCTTCATTTTATTATGGTGACCTTCTAATTCTTCTTTCAAAGCCTTTATTTTTGCATTAATTTTATTAATTTCATATAAGTCCTCTTCATCTGATTTGCTCTGTTCACTTTCAGTTTCAGTATTTTGATCTAAATATGTAATTATACCGATAACGTTAGATTGAGTGAAAAAAAACCTTGTGATCTTTGATGTACCAATTGCCGATTTTGTAAATGAGCCACTTGGACTCTACTTATTATAATATGTTGATTTTAGTGTCTTACCAGTCTTATATGGGTCCTGTTTTTTTTTCTCAAATTCATTATCCGCATCCTACTCTAAAATATATATAAATGATTAATAAAAAAAAATAATTACTGTAAAATGATAATTATTTAATTTACCTAATCCTTTTTTCAAAAGTTTCAATTAGATGTCCTTTTCTTTTTCAAAATCAATTTCATCCTTCCATTTGCTGTTATCATCATCTTCCCATTCACTTGCATCATTAAATTCTCCATAAATGTTATTATCAGTTTCTTTAGTATTTATCAATTTATTTTGTGATAGAAGCTGTTTATTCTTTTTTTCAGTCCAAATTTACCATCTGATGTTCGAGACTGTTGTTTGTAAAGCCTTTGTCATTTCTTAACTCGTGGCATACTTGATAAACTATGAGTAATGATGAGGGACGAAATCCCTTAATAACAGTCGAAACTTAGACGAAACTACATTAAAATCATATAAGGGATACGACGAAACCCTTTCGATACGACAAAAGCCAAAACTGTCGAAACTATATTAAAAACATAGAAAAGGGTATGACAAAATTATTTTAAGGAGGTTTCGGTAGGCATCTATAACTATGAGAAAAAACTTTGTAATATATTTATCTAACTTATGAAAATTGAATTACATCATAAATCATGTGGAATTCATCATTTTGACTTTTCTGAATTTTTGATTTTTTATTAATAAAATCATTTTTTTTTACATGATTTAAACCTTAATAACTTTATCAAAAATTATGCAATCTAAAATTAAAGCTGATAGATTAAAAGAGAAGAACCTAATCTATTATTCTATCGATATTAATTTTAATATTTACACAAACTAAAAGATAAGATATGATCTGCAGTTACATCTAAATCTTTGATGAATATAGATGCGCCGCATCATATATCATATTTTATATAAAAATAATAAAAGGAATATACATATTTAATATTAAATTTAATAGTATTTAAACTTATGATTAAGAAAGTGAATTTATGTTTAATAAGATATTTTGATATAATGGTGAATACAATAATATTGAGTATATAATCTATATATAATAAAAAGAGATAAAAAACTTTAATAATTTGCTATATTATAGCAAGACAAAAAAATATATTTACTAATAAGTTTATATTAAATATTGAATTCATTTTTATTTATTTGAATTATAATATAAAAAGTTTAATATTTTAATAGTAGTTTTGTTTACGATTATTAAGAATATTCTTATAAGCTAAAAAACTTTGCTTTACATTTACACCTGAAATAGATAACTAAATACTGTATATATTAATACTATTTTAGTTAAAATTAGTAATGTGTTATTTTTTTGATTCAATAATTGTTTAAATTAAAATCTTCTTTAAAAGATTCTTTCAGTATATAATATACTTTCCATTCATTAATTAAATTATTTTCTAGTGATAAAAATTCATTAATTTCTCTATAATTATTCAAATCATGTTAATTACTCTATACTTATATATATTTTAGATCAAAATATTGAATAGATCTAAAAAGAGAAAGTGCATTATATCTATTAATATGTTTTTTAAATTTAAATAAATCTTACTTATACAATCAATTCTTGATATAACAAACTTTTGATATAATAAATTTTTTGAAAAAATATAATAAAAATACTCTTATTATAGTGAATTGGTCATTTAAATCTCTTAAAATCTTTATTATAACCTTATAGCGAAGTTGAGGTCTAAGACATAAAGTTCATGATAATAAGAGTTGACTATATACTTTACTAAAAATTATTTTATAAATAATAAGATCAATTCCTCTTGATACATTGTAGAATTAAAAATTTGTGAAACTAATATTACATGATATTACAAGAAAAATTAAAAAAATATTTGGCTAAATAAAAAATTAACAGATAAATATTTAACCAAAAAACTAAAATACAGAACACGATTAAATTACTTATTGAAGGATAAAGGATAAATTACCTACTAAAGGAAAAAGGATAAATCAATTACTGAATAAAAGAAATTTAAGAAAAATCATAGAAATGTTTTATAAGAACGAGATTGAGAATTATAAGAATAGAATTATAGAAATAAGATTAGAAAATAAGATTAGAAATTATAGGAATAGGATTAGAAAATAAGATTAGGAATTATAGGAATAGGATTAGGAAATGAAATTAGAAATTACAAAAATAGGATTAGAATTTATAGGAACAGGATTAAGATTTATAGAAATGATTTATATTAATTTTTATATAAATAGAATAGAATTTTTCATGAAAAAAGATCGAAGGGATCAGTGTCTCTAGTTTAGTTGGTAATAATTGAGCTTCTATTGTAGGTTATATTGTGATAGCACAGGTTTAGATCTCAGCTGAGGCATAAAACTAGATGATTTTTCATAAGAATTTCATATGTAACTAAATACGTGGGTGCATATATTAATATGCATTAGAAACTGGTTAATCGATCTACTGATCAGTATTAATCTTGCTTAAATACTGAGTTTGAAGAACAAGTAAATGCAAATAAAGTTAGGGATTGACAGAAACTTAGCTTTCGCTGATAGGCCTGTAATGGGTACTATCTCACGTCTTCAAATTTAAGAGCCCTTACACAAGTAAAGAAGTAGTTAACCAGTAATTAATAGATGGGGTACCTCTTATATGTGACTATAATGATAATAGACTGCATTACACTACTGCAGTATCATTCAATCGAGCTATCACTAGGGGTAGAGGCTGGTTTAATTTCTAGGTGAATTTGACAATATAGATACAACAGCAACCTACCTTTCTGAGATTCTATAAATGATGATAACATCTAAGCCTTTCCAATCATGTGTAAAAATACTCTGATACTAGGAAAAGGTAATAGTGATCCAGATATAGTGTTGGTAAGCACAGAGAAAATCTGATAAAAATACCTGTGGCTGAAGTGATCCCTCTATCTAAATTTGACAGTGATTCTAAGGTCTAAGGATTCTGAAAGTTAGCTCTTGGAGATGTTGACCTAAGTGGCAATCTTCAAACTAGTATTTACAAATAGATTCTGATTAGATCTTTGAGTTTAAGTTACGACTTTAAAAATCTCTAGGATGAGTCAAGATTTAATATCTCAATAGTATTACCCTTTAATAGTTTCCTAGTATCAGATACTGTAATTTAAAAAAAAAAATCATGAAAAAAAATTGATATAGATAAAAAACTCTACCTCAAATTTTTTATTTTCATGATAGACAAAAATAACAAAAACAGTGCAAAAAAAAAACAAAAAAATAAGGATCAACAAATGAAAAAATTTATTAAAAAGCACTTTTCACATGAATAATCTGAAGGGTCTTCCTTAATAACTAACAATAACAACAGTATTACTGTCAGTTTTTATGAGTTTTCTGATACTGCTTCTCCTTCTACTCCTCTTACAAATACTTATGATGAGGGAATAAATTTTGAAGAATCTGTATATAATTTGGTTAGACAAATTAATATATAAAATGAAATAGAATATACACAAAATAATCCTGCTTTAAAAACACAGTTTTCTTCTTCTTCACCTACATCACAGTTATTTTCTTTTAATATTAAAAATGAATAAAGACCTAATCTTTCCCTCAAACCTCAAAGGATAAATAAAGGCAAAAGTAAAGATAACAATAATATTTCAATAAATACTGCCTCTGCTTCTTCCTCCTTCTCAGTTTCATCTTTCCTTCCATTCACATCTTCCTTCTTGGATAATGCTCAAAAAGGAAATTATGGTAAACAAAATTTTATTTTACCTTACCTGTATCACAGATTATTAGCCCCATTGAATTTTACTCAATTTGGTAATTCACAACAGTAAAGCTCTTTATCAATCAATGCTAAATCAGGAAATTTATATTAATACAACCTTCTGTCAAACAATACTAAATTGAAAGATTTACAATAATACAGCCCTATATCACATATATTAAAATTAGTTATCTCATCACAAATAATACAAAGGGCTTATCATTTTATTAATGTTTTATCAAGAACTTCAGAATATATGATCAGAATAATAGTATCAAGATATGGTATTGTTTAACAAATAGTAATTAAACAAAAACCTCCTTATTATAATGCATTTGTTTACTTATATGATAAATAAAAACAGCTCTCAAACTTAGATTCCATATGCAGTTTTCACTTTCTTGATAATCATATATAAATAATATCTTATATTATTCCTAATAAAGAACTGATTAAATGTTACTCTTTTATCACAAATTTTCAAATCTTTTAATTGGCTCAATTGATCGAGATATTGAACTTATACTCCAATCATTTAAAGCAAAATATTGGCATATTCCGATCAGTAAATTTAAGAAATCAAAATAAATCACGAATTTGTATGTTTTGAATCACGTGATGATCTCAATCATTTTATAAAACAGAATATCGCTCTCAATGGTCAAAAACTATTCATCCTTTTACCTAATCAAAAAACTTGCTCAATTTGTTTAAGTCTACATCACTTTAGAAGATCTTATACTCAAATTAAAAAATGGCATAATCTAGGATATCATAAAGTTAAAATTGACAATTTAGTTATTAATAAAGATTTTTTCTTAGATTTTGATGATGAATTAGAATTTGAACTTCCATTATTAACTGAAACTCCTGTTCTAGAACCTTCTCTTGTTATAAAAGATAGAACTCTTATTTTTAATACATTACATATGATGTAACATCTTATAAAAGAAATGTTTAAATATTTTAAAACATACGTCAATAAAGGTTTTTCTTATATTGTTGAAATAGTAGACACTATTCTCCCTCCAGATTCTGATGGAAAATATAATTTAGCTGAACAAAATTTACTTAATCAACTTAAACACCTTCCTCAAGATTTTTATAGTCTTTTACAATCATTATCACTGATTAGTTAGAAGAGTTCATCACCAATACCATTGCAGCTATCCTATAATTACTATTCTCACAAAAGTGAAAAGATCTTTGATCTCTTCACATTCTCTATTTCTGTTAAATAGTCAATTAAATAACCATTACCTTTTCTTTTATAGAACCATCTTAGATATAAATAATTTCTTTTCAATATAGTATAAAATTTGTTTTGTCTTTTGTTTTATTTTGTTTGTTAATTCTGAAAAATGATATTTTTTACTTAGGTTAAGATTGATTTTGGAGTGCTTCATAGGGTCTTATTCTAATTAGTCATAGATTAATTAGTCTAAGATATTGTAATCACTTTGAAATGTAATTTTATATGATCTACTTTACATTTTATATTTTATTTTGTATAATTTATTATCTCTCAATAATGGTTTTACGAATTTATCATATCTTAAAAAAAAAAAAAAAAAAAAATCGACATATACCCTATATACCTTAGTAATGAATTAATAAAAAATATTATGCATAATTTAGTGCTTAGAAAAGAATAATAGGTTTGCTCTAATTCTTAGTAAATTTATTAAATTATAAATAGTAAAATTTGAAAATTATAAAATAAATAGAAAATATCTTTTAATAATATACTTACATCATGAGTATAGCATTAAAAACCTTTTTGATATATTAAAGTTAATATCATAAATTAACATTGAAAACTTTTTTAATATGTTAAAATCAACCATCCCATTATAATATGAAATAGAAACTTATTGATAAACTGAAAACAAAGGAAACTCTTATTGAATAAAGGGAAATAAAAGAATTAATGATTTATGAATTTTACAGATTATAAAAAAATAATTAAACAGAAGGTCAGATAACAAAAAAGATCAATAGAAAGAAATAATAAAAATTCAAAATATAGGAAAACTGATAAATGGAATAAGAAAAAGAAATGGAATTACTAAATAATAATAAAATATTTGAAGAAATATTCGATACTGTTGATGAAGAAGAATTATGAATATGAAGAAGAAAAGATTACTGAAAATTTGAATTTAACTGATAACTAGAAAACAATTGAATAAAGGGTTCAACAATGAAGAATGATTAATGATAAGAAATTAAAAAGATGATGATGCTGAAATAATAAAAACAGAATTATGAGAAACTTAGAAATTAGGAAAATTAAGAATTGGATACTCTAGAATAAAGTAAATAATTGAAAACCAGATTCTTAAACAAATAAAATAATTTGCAAAACAAATCTTCTTAAAGATGAGTAGCAGAAATAGTTCAGAAAGGTACAGCTCTTATTGAAGCTATTGAACTCATAAAATGTCATATATTTGTAAATTACAGATTTTGACGATTACAATTGACTCTGAATATAACAAACCTCTATATAATGAAATCTTATTATAGTCAACTTTTGTTATAATAAACTTTATATCCTAGACCTCAACTTCTCTATAAGGCTATAGTGAAGATTTTAAGAGATTTGATTAGCCAATTTGCTATAACAAGAGTATTTTTATTATATTTATTCAAAAATTCATTATATCAAGAGTTCGCTATATCAAAATTTTACAACATTTAAAAGACTTTCTAATAAGATTTTCATCAATTTTGCCCTATAATTCCTTAACTCATGTTATAACTGTTAAATAGAAAGGATTTTTAATCCTTCTAGCTGAAGTAAGAACATGAATAGTAGATGACATCCAATTATTATATCGTTCTTTAATCTTTAAATATAAATAAATATTAATAAAAAATTAAAAATTTATAATAAATAATTTAAATTATTGATAATAAAAATTTATACACATAATTTACTTAGTTTAAAGCTTTTATTAATTGTAATATTAATAGTTGCAATTTTAATATGTAACTACTTGAAATTATAGCAATATTTGTATTTTTTTTACTAATCAATTTTTAACTGAACTTACAATATGATCACGAAAAGAATCTATTATCAATAAGAAATGTGGATTACTATAAGAATTTCTTGATATCTATACAGTTTCAATTCACTATAACATTTCTTTTTCATTCATCCACCTTTTTCTTTTGCTTGTATATGAATACTATGAGAAAATTTTTCTTTTAGCAAATTTTTCAACTTAAAAATGCAAATTGCTAAAAGTTTGCTACCATTAACCATACATGTAAATACAACTATAAAGATTAATGCTCGTGACCTGTAATATAAATACTAACTGTTTTTGTACTATAGTAAAATTATTTGATAAGTCAAATTATAAAGGTGTCTCATTTATATTACCTATGTATTTTAATGGATAGTCATACTGAATCCTTCTATATAAAATATAACTCAAAAAAAATATTTTGTTTTTCAAGTAAGTCTTGTAGTAATTGTTATGCTACTATTATTCTATGATATTTACTAAGATTATATCTTCTTAAAAATCTACTTAACTATTTATTTGAAAATTTAAATGAAGTGATTTTCAGATTATTTATCAAAAAATTCTGATTTTTAGATAGTATGATTGCTTTATTAGTAATTATTTTTTGGTTAACAGGATTTTGATTTGTTCTTCTTTCACAAATCCATGTATATTTTTTATCTTCTATATTTATATATTTAGCAGATTTACTTGGATGAAGCTTAAAAATATGAGATACACATATCAATAATTTTGCTTTATGATTATTTCATTTACGTACTTATTTTAGTTGAATATTAAAATATTTAGCAATTTCATGTTTACTTTCTTCATTATTTTTCAAAAAATATATTACTATTAATTTTTCTTTTACATTCCATTGTCGCCTTTTCTTTTGTGATAAATGATTACTTGCTTTTTGATTTTTTTTATTTCCAATAATAACTATTTTTACTTTAAAATAAATTTGCATTACAAATAAAAATAAAGAAATGAAAATGCATTTATCATTTATAAGGATTTATTACATAAAAATAGGAAAATAAACAGATAAATATGATTTTTATGAATTTTTTTTCCCAAAAGGGTAATTTATTTTTTGAAATATAAATATATCTAAGTATTATATATGGCAAATATTCTGGATACTTTATAAATCTTATACTTCTTTTATGTATAATATCTCTACTGTATCTTTCTATATAATATACCTTAGGTATAACCTTCAACTTCTTAAAATTTGTATTATATCCAGAGTATTATGACCTCCGTTATATAGTATTTTACTAGATAAGGAAAAATGAAAAAGAGTATCAAATAATAAGGAGATGGCTAAACAGGTATATCAATATACAAATAACTTTAAAAATTTTTATTATTAAGCGATTAATTAACTATTCTTACGTTTTATATTTTATAGGTAAAATGTTTAAGAATAGTAGATATCTTGCCAACCTTAGAATTTTGTGAAGAAGGTGTCTAGAGCCTTACATTTTCAGAGTAGAAAAGAGCAGACTGTTTGCCTGCATAGTGTAATAGAATGTATTTATCCCCAATATCTGATCAAATATACAGAGAGTTGCCAAAAGTCTCTGAATATCACTTTTTAGATGAGATTCAATATCGGCAATTTCATGTGACTTAGAAATACTGCGGTCATATGACGTTTCGAATCTTGTTTATATGAATCGTACTTTAAAATGCATTTCCAAATGGTGATGGTTTTCAGAAGGATAATGTTCGACCCCACAAATCGAAGCAGGCGAAGAATTTTCATGCAGAAAATGACCTGCACATTCTTTTATGACCTGCTCAAAGTCCAGACTTCAACCCGATCAAAAATATGTGAACAGATATCAAGAAAAGCATCTGAGAAAGGAAAAAAATGCCTTCTTACATTGCTGAACTAGAGCGGCATATTAAGAAGTCATAGAAAGAAATTTCCATACATACTATCGAAAATTTAGTCGATAGTATGCCACAATGAATTCGGGCTATAATTGAAGCAAATGGAGGCCCAACCAAGTACTAATTAATTAGTACAAAATTTATTTATATGTCATTTTTAATAAATATTTAATAAATTTTTTAATTAAATTTTAAAATTTTAAATGTTTTATTGAGCTAAAAGTGTTCGGAGACTTTTGGCGGCCCTCTGTATAATACGAGAAAGGGACACAAATGCAGCTACAAACATCGCTTTATCTAGAGCATCAATCATTTTAGCTGCTGATTATCAGCCTTTTCCTTCTTATCATCATAATGCTAATTATATAAGATATACTTCCCAGTCAAAGTATTGGATCACGTGATTTTTAATACTTAAATTGATATAATTCTATTGATTATAACTTTTGATAAAATGCATAAAAATGAATCAAATTTTTTTTCTGCATAATTATAAGCTTTAACATTTGAATATATAGGCTCTTTGTAATAGAAAGGAAGGAAACTACCAAAAAAATTTTTTTTGAGTTAATGTTAAATCTGAACTTATTTTATTAAAAAAATAATATTAAGCTTATAAAGCAAAAAAAAATTTTTTTGGTAATTTCCTCCCTTTCTATTGCAAAAAGTTTATATATATATATTTTTAATGCTAAAAATCTAAGAACTTATTGAGGTGAAAAAATTAACCTTTAGAAAGGTATCTATAGCAAACAAAATATTATAGATATTCTTGTCTATTCTATCTCATTTTTATTGTTTTAAAATGATGTTTATCATTATATTTGATATCATTCTCATAAAAATTATGATATAAATTATTTAATTCCTACTGTAAAATCAGGAAAATAAGATATAATTATATAGAGGTATTTTATAAAAAATATATTGGAATTTTAATTCAAGTTTCTGATAAATTGTAGGTTTTTTTGTATATATTGAGATTTAAAAAATAATCTTTTGCTTTTTCTGATGAGATGAGTTGGGAACTGAGTTAGAATATATTTTTTAAGATTAAATGCATCAGTTTATTAGGCAAAGCAATTAAGCATTAGATAGAAAATATGGTAATTCAATCTCAAATATTTTATGGTCTGCATAACCACCTGACTTAATTACAATTGAATATCTATAGAATGTTTTGAATAGAAAGGTTTGTAAACATACTCTATATTCAAAAATTCTTGGAGAATTAATGGTTGTTTTAAGGGAAAAATGGAATGAAATTGAAACAGACATTTTAGAAAATTTAGTATAAAGTGTGTTGAGAAGGGTTTAAGCTGTAATAGATAGCAATGGTTATCCAACTAAGTACTAATTATTTTTATAAAAAATTGAATAAAATAAAAAAATTTTTATATAAAATTACTTATTAATATTTTTTATAATTAAAGTTGGCTATTAAATTTAAACTTGCGATAATTTTAAAGTGGTCCAATACTTTTGACCGGGGAGTGTATAGAACTCCTTTCAGTCGTGACACCAGAACTGGTTCCCCGCGACTCCATTCGAGATGAATGAATGAAGTCTACTCAAACGGCTAAATTTTGACGAAGTCAAAAAGTTAATTTGAAAAGGCTCGTTGGTGATTAAACATATAAATGGACGATCATAAATTCTTAAATTGTCAAAACGTGTTACTTTTTATTACTTATTATGATTTTTTTTTTTTTTTTATTATTTTAAATGAAACATATTAATAAACAAAATAATAATTAGTTTTATGATTCAATTATAAAAGTTAAATTAATCCAAATTTTTCAATACTTTATCGATATCAGATTTTAATCTATCACTTATCGGTTTATGTTCGTTTGTAAATAAAGGTTTTATTACAGGTGGTACCTTTTCACGCAAATAACGTTTCTCTAAAACAATAAAGATGAATTGTTAAATCAATATCATGTAAAGCTTAATTAAATACTATTTATAATTCGATTTACTTACGAGGACCGCAAGCAGCCTTTGAAGCTTTCTCTAAGAACATACAACCATTACTCCTTATCTCATCAGGATATTTATCCTTTTCATTTAATATAATATCAATTATAGTATTTAATAAAGTTTGTGTTGACGTTGATGGTGCAGGTGCTGGTGCTGGTGCTTTTCCAGCATCTTCCGTTGCTGCTGTTGCTGCTACTACTTCTGTATTTGATGATTCTTCAACAACGCTAGCACCAACTTTTTCTGAAGTCAAGAAATCTAAAGAAGGATTGATTTCTACAATTCAAAAAAATCAAGTAAATAAACGTTTTATAAATTAAAAAAAGAATTTATAAAAAAAAAAAGTCATACCTTTGGCCGAATCATCCATTGATAATAAAGTCAAGGCAATTATACCCTCATTTTGAAGTATAGGATATTTGGATTCTATAACCATATTAACAAGTGGCTCAATTATTTCCACTTTATTCAATTTTTGTCTCAACAATTTCATTGAAATTCCTTCTATAAAAATGAAAAAGTTTCATATGAATAAAATACTCTTATTTTTATCACTCCCCTCTCCTCCCCATAAACATTTTCTACCTTGTTCTTTGTATGGATGTTCGCTCCAAAGTTTTTTTACAAGATTAACAAGGACGCGTGTTCCCTCACTTCGAACGGGTATTTCATCCGATCTTTTAATTATAGACAATAATCGATTTAAAGGAGTTGGTGTCTCTGTATCAGCTGGATTTTCTCCCATAATAATCTTTACCGAATTTGAAACTAGAAATGATGATAATATTTTTTTTAAATGTTATATTATGTTAAACTATCCCCGATTTATTTAATCGGAATGTACGACTTACGATTATGAGATGATAAATGCTTTAGAATTCCAATAACCCCTAACTGAACAGGTTGAACGGTGTCTTTCTCTAATAGGGGCGAAGACATTCCAATAATTCCCAAGGATCCGATTATTGCCTTATTTTCAACTAATGTAAAGAAATTAATATTGATGCCATTTTGAGTTATATTCACTTACAAATAAAAAAAATAAAAACAAATTTGGCAGCAGCAAATACCTGGCAGTGAAATATTCTTGAGCACACTTATAATAGCATGCTGTACTTTAATGTTACTTGAAGTTTTTAGAACGTCCGCAAGTGGTTCACCAATCTTGAATTCATGAACCAATTGTATACAATGTTTATCTTTAACATAAAACAAACAGAAAGCTTTTAAAATAATATTTTCGAAATTTTGTAATACTTGAAATATTTACGTATTTACCAGTTCTTGCGAGATTTCCCAAAGATAATGCAGAACACATTTGTAAATCATCGCGATCTGTGCTCAAATTCAACCAATGAAGGAATCGATTCAATAAAGTGGCATCATTAAACAATGGATCCATATTGCTGTCTGCAGGAATTTTTTTTTAAAAAAAGGTTATATAATCTAAAAAAATATATATAATTTTTCATAATATTTTGCATTTACCACTCATTGTTGCAGAAACAATAACTTTCAATACGGCAGCTTTACATTCACCATAACTCTTAATTATACGTTGTTCACAATTGAGTGGGGGATTTGAGAATTCCAAGAAATCCAATAAAATAGGGAATAAATTATTTCGTACAAGAATTTGTTGCACATCATCTACAATGAGATCGTAACGATTAATAACAAAACAGAACAAATAATAATAAAAAAATTTTTTTTTTTTAATTATACACACCACTTTCTAAAGAAACAGTTTCTAAAATTTCCACAACATTCTCTAACATATCAACATCGTCGTCTACAGCACCTTCCCTAGATGCATACTTTAAAAGGTGAACTAAAGAGGTGATCACCTTTGTATTTCCAATTTCCTTCTTTCCTTCAGCTGAATAAGAACAAAAGTCAATTATGAAAGTTGGTCATAAATAAACAAAAATCAACATATAATTAATGAAATCATTTGCGGACCTGTGCCGATGAGGTTTATGATAACTCTAGTGGCAAAATATACACACGTTCTTGCGACTTCAATATCATTCTCGTATTTTTTTAATACACCCTCAGGATCAAGGATTTCGGCCAAAGTATTTAAACCATCCTTATCTACTATTCCAACATTGACATTATCTATAATAAAAAGACATGATGTTTGATTGATTTATAACATTATTAAAGGAGGGAATTAACATATAAAGTTAAAAAATGACAACACACCATAATTGAGTCCAGCGTTTAATAGAGTCGCACTAGAAGCGCGAATCGTTTCTAAATCTTTTTGTTGTTTTAAACAGTTAAGCGCTACATTAATACCACCGGTATCTATAAATTGTTGCCGATTTCTATCTAATTATAATAAATCGATCTCAGTAAAATTAGTGTTTGTGATAACATCAGAATAAAGAATTTGATCTCACCATGAGTTATACAGAAATTTGCAAGTGCGCGAAGACATTGATAATCAACATTAGGATAATTTACATTGGCGTTGACGTTCATAAATGTAACAATTAACTCGAAAGCTCCCGATAAACCGAGAGGATCACGCAATTTATCTTTTTTTTTTATAATTAGAATTAATTCTTAATAAAAAACTAGAAAATATTTAAACAAAAATAAATCATTTACCAATTTTTGCAGCATTTGCCAATAATTCAACGATTTTTACAACCTGTGCCCAGGCATAAGCTTTAGTTTGTTCATCAAACGTTGAATAATCATCAATTAAAATATGTTTACATGATTCAAGACCAGATATTAAATTTGGAAGATATAACAATAAATTCGACACTATTAAGAAAGAGATGATGATCGGTTTAGATGGCTTAAAAAGACAATTTTTGATCATTTTAAATTACCGTTTGAAGCGAGTTGTTTCACGAGATCTTCAAGTTGTTTTATTTGATTGACTAAAAAAAAAAAAAAAAAAAATTTTCAAGTCAAAGGATGTATAAGGATGACGATGATTATTGATCTTTATAATAACTTTCAGAAATTGAATCATACATACCATCATTTTGAGAAATTTCGGTCATTTTCCTCTATTTAACTCCCTACAAACTCAAAAGAATTCCGATAAATAAAATAAAATAAAAAAATTTTTTCAATATTAAGCAGAACGGTTCAGGATCTCAAGATATTTATAGTTTAAATTATTATTTGCTTTGTGCCATAGATCTATCCAATTATGGAAGGTTGACAATCAAAAAAATTTTAATATTAATTGCCGATCGGATTGTTCTATAAACAGTAAAAAACATGGCTATTTGTGAGAATTTATTGTCGATCAAAAATGAATCATTAAAGATTTATACTTTCTTCAGACATCGATTTAAAGAAACAAAAAAAGTTAAAAGGATATTGAGTAATGGTAAACCTCCTTATCTAATCTATTTCGGTAAACTTAGCCGTGGAAGGTCCACTCATCACACTGCTATATTATCTCTTGTATTACAAAGAATGTTGATAACCACAAAATCAGTTATCATAATCAAGGACAATCTTATTGTGGACCGCCAATAAGAGACGTTGTCGCGTACTACGTCAAAGAAATGCTAATCATTTCCTCTGTGCGTATTTACATGTGGGAGGGCTGTAACTATATCGGTCAAAGTTCCGTTTTTAACCAATTAAAAAATTTTAAACTTAAAACAAGAGAACAAGAGGGGACGAACTTTTAGTAGTAGTAGTAGTTGAAACGGTACATATTTTGAATTTTTTGCCGGTCATGTAATTATTCAATTCCGATTATTTCTTTACAAAGTAATTTTTGTACCTTTTTGGGGAACAAAGTGGTTAATGATATGAAGATATTTATATTATTCGGCACGTATTTTTAAATCTTTTAAAAGTCAATATTTTATTAAATTAGATGTTTAATACATTCTAATTCTAATTCTATCATTTAATTTAAATACTTTTTTCTAAATTAAGCAAACCCGGAAAAGTCATTTTTTAAACTAATACTAGGTCCTTTGCTAAATTCTAATTGCTCATTGGCCTTCCTTTCTCTTTCTTTTTGTAACCGTTGTTGCTCTTGTAATACATTAAACCTTATAGCATTTTCTAATTTAGATTTAAGCTGAGGTGTTAAAGTGGCTAACGCTTCTTTAAAATTTAATGGATTAGTAGCAGCCAATGAAAGAACATGTTTAACTGAAATCAAATGTAATTTTGGAAGTGGATTAAATGATTCTAATGGTGCATCTTCTAAAAGATTAATTAATGTTGGTAAAGTAACTGCAATAACAAGCGATTCTACATCGAAATAATAGACATGATGTATTTCAGATTAGTTGAATCTCATTTAACAAAATAAAAATGAAATGTATATAATGACACTAATACTCACTGTGAGATTCGTTGGCTACAGTGTTTACCATAAGTAAGGTTTTAATAACTTCTTCAACAATATCAAGTTTATCAAGTTTATCATCGCTTGGTTCCAACCTTGAGTCTTTAATATTTTGTAAAAACATTACTAATTGTGGTATTAACGCCTTAATACAATTATAACTGATCTCCGTTGAAGCCATTACTGTAATCGTGTCGCTTTCCGATTTGGTTGAAAGTAAGATAAGAGTACGAATACATTGTAATGAAGTTACAGCAATCTATATTACGAAGATAAAGATTTGAATTAATATTATTCATTTGCCTCGAAAGAAAAATCACGTGAACTAAAGTACACTTACCGTAGTATTATTAGATTGAAATCCTTTTTTTAATATCTTAACAAATTCATTTTGCAATCCTTTAGACCTTAAACAGGATTTAGGATTACAAGTAAATAATAATACCAAAGCCAATAAACAATTTTTTATTATTGATACTTCTTCTTCACTATATTCTTTATCCACACTATATATCCAACCCAAATGAGAAACAAAAAATTGATTTAATTAATCAAATGATTAAAAATTATCGATATTATAATTATTATTATTGAAACTAACCTCGTTAATACAGAATTCATTTTAGTTAAAATAGACCAAATGGAAGAATGGATAATTTTAGAAAAATTTTTCAAATCTTTTTCATCATTAAACAAACTCTCTAAATTTCCTCCATTACATAATAGTTTTATATTATACAATACATTTTGTGTCATATCATTTTGTTGAAATTTTGGATCCTGAATTAAAGCTATAAAATTAATTGTTTTAATTAGTGAAACGAATACAATATATATTTTTTATTATTGTTATCATTAGGAAGTGATACTTACATATAAATACATAAAATGCTATTGCGATTAAATCATTTTTATATTTAATCGGTATAATAGTAATAAGTGAAGTAAAAGCTTCTAATGATGCTTTTAATACAGTATTAATTTGTTGAGAAGTTTGACCTCTAGCATTTCCTAATAAAAATCTCGTATTTAAATCACCTTATCAAAAAAAAATTAAATAAAAATCCACAAAAGGCATTTATATAAGACTTACCTTGGGGGGGTCTAAATATCCTTAGGGAATTGGGTCTTGCAGAAAGCGAAGGAATTTTTTGAAAAAATATGTTAACAAGTAATCTTAACATGTAAAATAATATGGTTTGTGATTTATCTTCTTCATTATTCATAGTAGAATCGTTCCCCAAATTCCCATTAATTGTTGTACTGCAAGATAAATCAAACCATTAAAATTAATTTTTCTAAATATTTTTTTTTTTTAAAAAAAAAAAAATCTTCCTATAGCATTACCTTCTTTTATGTTCCATAGTTAATAAATCATCACAGATAAAAGTACTTCCATAATCATTAATAATATTAGCGATAGTTTGTATAATATCATGTTGTACTTCAAATCCTTCAGTTAGAACTAACCTATCAAATAAGCTAATTAATTCAATAAATATTATTCTTTCTAAAAATATGTTACCAGCGACAATAGGTCTAAGGAAAGCTTTTAAAGCATTAATACAAGTTTTGACAACTTTATCGTTGTCACTTGTAACATTAGATTTATCTCCACTTGAATTAACACTACCGATCAATCCGCTCGATCTTCTACCACCTCCAAATGTCTTTGATAATGCTTCTACACAAAGTCCAAACAATATAAAAAAATATTTTGCTGTATTTGCGGTGGAAGTAGTGGTGGTGGTGGTGATAGTAAATTCCGTGAAATCGTCAAATGACGATACGTCATTACCAAAATTTGTAAATTCATCATGCTGTTGTTCTTCATCTTTTACATCACTTGTAGTTGATGAAAGGTCTTTTCCATTTAATGCATTAATAATTAATGGATTGCCACTATCCACTAAACTAGCAACGGCTCCTAATATAGTCAACCAAGATCTATTATAATACTAATATTACATGAAAAACAATTAATGTCATTAAAATATTTTAAAAGACAATACTCAAAGTACATACCGGAAGAATAACTTCTCTTGTTAATCCACTATACATTGAATCAAATACTTCAGTCTGTGTAGGTGAAAGAAATGAACCGCCAACATTCCCCCCATTTCCTCTGCTACCGATTATATTAATTTGTGCTTCAGCTATGTCAGGTTCAATTTGTACCCTTGCATACTCTTTTAATGCTAATACCCACAATGGACATAACAATGGCAAGTTTCTATAATAAAAAGTTTATATATAATTAAGGTTTAACAATTAAGTAATTTACTTTTATTTATTTATTTTGTTTTTTTTTGAAAGGATACGGTTCTAATACTTGTATTAAATAAGATTGTTTAATGCTAGAAACTTGTAATTCAGCCCAAGCATTTAATACGGATAATTTAACCATAATTGCAGCATGAGGGCTTAAATCTTTAATATCACCAACAGCAGTAACGTTAGCATTAGCTAATCCAAATCAGACAAAAATAAATCATTAATATAGTCAAAAGAAATAACGAAATACAAAAAAAAAAAAATAAATAAATAAAAAAAACTGTGATAACCTTTACAATTTTCCAATGCGGTAGTTAATAACTTTAAAATGCGACCCATACGATATAATTCTTTGACGATACCACTACCAACAAATACAGCACATACTTTTACAGCAGCTGACAAAATTTCTGGTGAAGATTCAGCTGTAAACGCTGGAGTAAGCGCCGCTCCTATTTGCGCCTATTACATGAAATCCAAGCACGCGTTAGAACAAAAATGATGACTTTACATGAAAAGAAAGGTATGATTCCATTACCTGATATTGTTCCAAAAGAGCAGCTTCTACAAAATCTGGATCAGGTGTTGCAGCAAATTTCTAATAATAATAATAATAAATAATAAATAATAATCATGAATGAAATTTTGAAATTATTTCCTTTTAAACAAGAAACAATTCTCTTAAAGTTAATATACCTCAATCACATCTCTTAATACGGTCAATCCTTCTAATCTCATTTCACCAACAACGGCGGTACTAGCAGTAAACGCCATTTTGATTAATTCTTGTACTCTTAATACTAAATAATCTTTTCCGTTTGCACTCTTCTTCTTTGCAATAGATAGATCAAAATGATCTTTATCGCCAGAATTACTAATAACTTCAACTACTTGATGTAAACATTGTAACGCAAATAATTGAGTACGCCACCTGGGTGGAATTTGAACAGAATCTTGAATTAATTTAGTATTCTTTTCTAATTCCCTATTAGCGTTAGCTCTTTCTCTAAAATCGAAACTCTCGACTTCTTCATCACCATCTTCATCATTTAAATCATTTTCATTGTTAATCCCATCTAAATCATCATTACTAGATAAATCCAAAGAAGGAGGGTCGATGGGAGCGCCAGCACTTGCAACACTACCAGTTTTCGACATTACTTTTCTACATAACTCGACCCAAATGGAAGGATTATCTATCGCCGTTTGATTTAACCAACTTTTTACAATATCTTTAACGCCATCAATGGTTGGATCAGTATCCAATAAACTAAATAATTGGTTATCCAAACCAGGTACGGAAACTTCAAATACATGTTTAGCATTCTTTTGCACCAATTGATACAAACATGTAACAGCAACTTCTTTTAATGGTAAATGTTTACTGCTTAATTGAAATTGCAAGAA